ATCCATTTATTCATTCCACAAATGGTTATTGGGCACTAATTATAGACCAGGTATTGAGGGTTCGTTAAAGAATAATATATGTCGATAAAAATCTTTGCTTTGTCCAGACAAACACAACAAATGAATAGATTATATAATGCAATACAGGCTGGTAAATACGATGATGAAGAGTAAAGAAAGGAAAGGGGGTAAGGAGGACCCATGGTGGGGGAAGGGAAGAGAGGGTGAGCTGCAGTTTGAAATGGGATGGATGGTCGGGAAAGACCACACTGATAAGGTGACATCTGAGCAAAGAGTTCAAGGTGCTGGCTTGCTGAGCTGCCTGGGTCAGGGAGTACAACTTTGATGCATTTGAACTTTGCCCAGGGGGGCAAATGGGAAAATTGGAGTCCAAGGAAGATTTCTATGGATTCACCCTTCCCTTTATTTTCTCTTTCCTGGGCTATTCCTTTCCAGAGTCATAAATAGGAAAGTAAAGTAAGGAAGAAGTAAAGGTAGTAAATTCATTCGTGCATCCATACTCCATCCATCCATCCATCCATCCATCCATCCATCCATCCATCCATCCATATCCGATGTTTATATAGAACCTATTATAAACCAGATATATACTTTCATGAGACATAAGAATAAGATATAAGTATGTATTGTTGGATACAGTAGCCATTAGCCACATGTGACTTTTGAGCACTTGAAATGTGGCTCTGTGACTGGGGAACTAAAATTTTAATTTTATGCAATTAACTACATTTTAAATTAAGAAACCCTGGAGCAGTGTAAAATATTTTTCTGTTAAATACAACTTTATTATTTTACTAGGATTACATTTCAGTTTAACCATTAAAAACTTGGCTCTGAATTGAGATTTAAGGATAAAATAAACAACGGATTTCAAAGATAGTACAAAAAGAATGTAAAATAGGTCATCACTGAATTTTTATATTGATTACATATTGATTGCATATTGAAATGATAATAACTTGGACAACCTAGTTTAAATAAAATATATTATTAAAATTAATTCCTTTTTTTAACCTGTTTTAATGTGGCTGCTAGAAAAGTTAAAGTGATATCATTATATTTTTATTGGACAGCAATGTTTTAGACCTGACCATCCTGGGCTCCCAGGCAACTGGGCAGAACTGGGCACATAGTCAAATAATTGTAATACCATGAGGTAAATGCTATAATCGACCCAGGAACTGAGTGCTCTGGGGACAGAGAACTGAGCCTGCAGTTCTAATGCAGGATCAAAGGAGAGGTGACGTCTTTAGCTAGGTCTCCACAATGAGTAGGAGTTTGTCATCTGGAGGACAGGAGAGGGTGCGTCCCAGGCATTGGGCACAGTGTGTACAAAGGCAGAGAGGCATGAAACCATGAGAAGTGGCCCTGACGTGGGATGCTTGGTGGGAGAAGGTGGTGTGGTTACAAATCAGTACAGTTAGCGCCAGACCATTCAGGGAAAGCGAAGTGAGCATTACTCAGCAAGAGAAAGGCGCATTTGCTGGGCACCTGAGTGCTAGCCATCATGTCCAATGCTTTCTCCTACATTAGCTCATTCATCAATTTCACACATATTTATCGAGTGCCTACTATGTGTTAGGCGTTGTTCTGGGAGCTGAATATAGAGCAGGGAACAAGGCAAAGTCCCTGTCCTCATGGAGCTGACATGTAGGTCAGGACAAGGAGGACAATCCAGATCAGAGAGGTACAGTGACTTGGGCAAAGTCACACAGCTGGTGGACAGTGAGGGCAGGATTTTCATCCAGGTGTTTTTGATGCTAATGTCAATGCTCTCATTATCTTGCCACACTACCTTGGGTGTCAGACTAAGGAGCCTGGACTTTGCCCTGAAGGCCACAGGAGATCAGTAGAGTCTTGGGGAAGGGAGACACAGGGTCACATGTGTTTTAGGAACAAACTATGGTGACTAGATGGAGGAAGGATGACACTGAGGAGCCTGACCAAAGTGCTGTAGTTTGTGCTTGATGCAGGTACTGCTCCTTAGCATTTGTCATTGTATCCCCTATCCCCAAATCATGTCTTTCTGTCCCCAAGTCTAGTTTCAATACAGTGGCTAAAAGGAGACTTTTCCAACCCAAGTGTCATGGTGTCACTGCTCTACTCAGAATTGGCCAATGGCTTCCCGCCTGATTCAGAGTAAAACCCTGCCTTACCCGGAAGTTCTTACATCATTTCACAAAGCCCTACATGATTTGGTCCTTTGTTCACTCTCTGGCCTCAACTCCTGCTATCGCCTTCCTATTTCACTCTACTCACAATGACCTCCTCACTATTTCGGGAACATGTCGAGGATATTCTCACCTCACAGCCTTTGCACTTACTGTGCCCTAGGCCTGGGAGGCTCTTCTAACCTATTGTCCCCCAGATATCCAGGCTGCACACTCCCTTGCTTCCTTGGGGCCTTTGCTCAAATGTCTTCTCCTTACTACTCTCATTATTCTCTACCTCCTTAATCTGCGTTGTTCTTCCTGCTAGCCCTTACCTGACATGTAAGACATTTATTTATCCATGGCTTACTGTCTATCTGTAAACCTAATGTAAACCTAATAAACCTCGTTTTGTTCACTTCTGAATCCCCAGTATGTCGACTCATGATGGGCCCATGGTAAGCACTTAGCTAATATGGCTGAATGCATTGGCACATTCAGGGAGCAAAATGTAGAGAAGAGCTCTTTATATCTCTCCCCACTCTGCCCAGAGCCCCCCATGTAACCTCCATGAAACCCAAAGGCTCTTCCATTGTAGTCAATCAGAGGTTTTCTCCCACACGGCTCCCGCACGGTCCTGTAGGTGACATATTTACATTCTGGTCTCTCTGGTGGCCGCTCTTTCCAGGGTGGCACAGTGTTGTTTTCTGCTTCTGGAGTCCTGCCAGTGCTTTCCCTGTTGACGGGGAATTTATCACATTTCAGTTTCTTTTTTCAAGAATAGAACCTTCCAACGAATCCCTGCTGTTTTGTTTCCCTCAGGAAGAAGCTATCTTATTTTTCAGTATAAAGTTTAGGACAGAGAAAACAAAGCAAATGGAACTGTTGCCAAATGTCCTCTTGGCCCATGTGCGCAAAGAAGGGGGTAAAAGAAGGAATGTGCGAGGAACGTAAAACCAATCTACAAATGAGTCAAGAGTTGCCAGCCCGGGAGGGTCATCGTAGTCACCTCCCCTGATGATTTATTTATATAATATAATCCCTCAATCCTCACACCAACCCCATGGGACATACTATTGTTATCTTCACCAACACCACCTATGTTATTACCATTGCTATTTTGCAGGTGAGAGAGCTGAGACGTAGACAGAGAAAAGAATTGTCCAAGATGGTCAGTTAAGAGTGGTGGGACAGGGACTTGAACTCAGGTGGTCTGACTCCAGAAATGCAAGCTCTAAATCAAGGAGTCTGGGATCCTGTTGGAGTAAGTGCTTTATCTATGGAAAACACTTGAATACAACGCATGATAACATTGTGCTTAAGTGTGGTTCAAATTATAAATGCTATAGGAATTCAGTCTGGAGAGGAACTCCCAGTGCTTGGGCATGACTGTGTGCCAGGCATTGTACTGGGTATTTCCATCCTTCCCATTTAAGGAGAGGCCTCACAGTGTATGTGGAAGAGGAAGAACACGAGCTTTGGAACTGGATAGGTAGGGTTTAAATCCAGGCGCTGCTATTTACAACCCGTGTAATCTCAGGCAAATTTCTTAATCTTTCTGATATGATCTCCTCGGTTGAAAATAGGGATTATTACAACCACTTTACAGAAGATGGTTTACTGTCATAAAGTGGTACCAGCCTATGGTAGGTGCTATTCATTCAACAAGTACTGATTAAGTCCTAGGCACTCAGGAGCAGCACTATCAGCTAGAATCAGCTAAATTATGCTGCTGTGACAAACAACCCCCCAAATCTCACTGGCTTAACACTACACAAGTTTAATATTTGCTCATACTACTTTTCCAGTGCAGGCTAGTGGGACTGCTCTGCCATCTTTACAGAGACCCAGGGTGGCTGGGGGGAGGCTCTGTACTTCCATGGTTGTCAAGATAGGATTGCCAAGACTGTACTTTCAGAATTGTCAAGATATGGGGATTTGCCCATTGGCTCTTAAAAGCTTCTGAAAAGCAGCGCATATCACTGGTACTCTCATTCCATTGGCCTAAGCAAGTCATATGGAGACATCTAATTTTAAGAGGATAGGGCAGTGGATTCCTACCACATCCCCAGGGTGGGAAAGAACCAGACAATATCTGGTGAACAATTTTAATTACCACTACAGACACAATTTGTTTACCTGTAAAACATATCTGCTAATCCATATTTTAAGAAGAGGAAACTGAAGCTCTGAGAGGTTAAGTCATTTGACCAAGGTCACACAGCCTATCCACTGGGAAGCCAGGCTCACCCTGCATGCTACCGCACTCTGACTTTATTCTATGTGCACAATGTCTCCAGTTTCAGGAGGCAGGCAGGCACTGCAAGTGCGGAGGACAGAATAGGAATTGGATAAACATGGCCTTTGTGTTTGTATTATGCAATAGCCAGTTGTGTGATCCTGGTGAAGGCAGGAAGGGGCAGAGGGATTTATGTCAAGTCACAATAGAAGAGAAGTTTGGGCAGATAAGAAAACCAAGCACTGGAGTGTGGCAGGGGGACAGGTATGGAGGATGTGATGACTGCAGGGTTTTAGGCCATTCCTCTGGCAGCAGGGAGGGGGCTTATTGGGAGGACATGCCCTTGCAGGAGTCTAGGGTAAGGTGATAGGGGTAGACAAGAGTGAAGACAGCAGGAATGCAGAAGGGGTGAACCTGAGAGCTGCAGAGGAAGGTGGAGCCCAGCTCACTAGTGGAAAAGTAAAGAACCATCAAGGAATCTACAGAACGCACCAGACATTCTTCATACCTCACTCTTTCTATCCCCGTCTGGTACACTGCACCATTTATTGAACAAAACATTTCCCTAAGGCCTCTTTTTCTCTTGCCTTCTTTATTTTCCCTTGCCGATTCCTAGGACACGGGGGTGGGTGCAGTCGCTGTGACCATCTTCAGGATCTAGCCTCTTTAGTTAAAGGAAAATTCCCAAGGCCCAAGGGGCCAGCAGGCCTGCAAGTTTCCTCCTGCTCGGCAGGCCCCTGGCCCTGCTCCATCTGGGGTCCCTGGCTTGCCCACCTCCGAAGGCAGCCTTGGCGGGCAGGGTGGGCGCCCCGCTCCATCCTGGCGCCTCTAGCACCCCATCTCTTCCACGCCCTCTCTCTTCCTCACTCAGGCGGCTGCCCGGGCCGGAATCCTGGATGGTGATGGAGGGCCAGGAGTCCGGAGGCAGGCCCCAGGTTCAGCCTCGGAGCCTTCCTGTCTCCTTTCTTCGGGGACGGTCAAAGCGCGCCTCTTGGGGTTCTCTGGGGGCGCGCAGCTGCCCCAGGCTGGCAGTCCTCCCCCAGCTGGAGGTGGAGGCCTGCGAGGCGGGGGTGCGCACCCTGGCGGGGCGGGAGGGGTGCGCATGCGGCGGGAGGGGGGCCGTGACTCATCGCCTGTAACCCAACACCCGCCTTGCCTCCCTTCCCCCAGCCTCTCCCCCAGCTCCGGACTGGCGGCCGTGGCGACACCTAAAAGAATGAGGGGGTGCCCAGGCTCGGAGCGCCCCCGGCCGGATCGTGAGCGGGCCCCGGCGGCCCCCAGCTCGGAGCGCTCTCGCTTGCCGGGCCCCGGGGCTCGGCGAGCTGCTGTCGCCGCCCGGGCGCTAGGAGGAAGGGAGGCCGAGCGGCTGGAGCAGGAGGCAGCAGCGGCGGCAGAAGGCCCGCGGTAGCTGCGGAGGGCGAGGCCGGGGAGGGGGCGCCTGGGCTTGGAAGCCCCCGGGCCCCATCTAGGCCGTTCGAGGACAAAGCCCCCTGATCGCCGCTGCGGCCTACACCGCGCAGCACAAAGGGCGATTTGCGACACGCACCCATCCCCCTTCCAGCTCGGGGTGGCCCCGGGCCCCCGGTGGAGGCAGGGAGGTGGGGGAAGCCCCGGCGCGCCGCCCCTCACTCGCCCTCCCTCGGGGCCCGGCGAGCGCCCCGCCCCGCCCCGCCCCCGCCCCGTCTGCCTGTCCTCTCCGGGAGGGGTCCGGGGGCGCGGCGCCCACATAACACTCCCCCTTCTGCGCTCGGAGCCACCCCTCTCCCCTCCCTCCTGCAAACACCACCGCCTCCGCTGCCACCGCCGCCACCTCGCCCAACGCTCTGCAGCTCGCGGCGGCCGGTGGGCGGTGCGCGGACCCTGCGCGCCGGGTGCGCCAGATGTGCAGTCCCCGCCACTGCCAGTGACCCAGCCGCAGCCCGAGCGGAACCCGGCCGCCTCCCCAATGCTGCGGGGGCGACACTGAGCGCACCCCGGCTTCCCTCTGCCGGGACCCCGACACGCAGAGCGCTGTGCCCAGTCCTGCCCTCTCCAGCCCCGCACGCCCCACGTTTGGACATGGAGGGGGCCGCTGCGCCCGCGGTCCGGGACGGCCCCGACTTGGGGCCGGGGGCGCCAGGCTCTCCCCCGGAGGCGGTGGTGGGGGCGACCGCAGCCCCCGCAGCGGCGGCGGCGGCGGCGGCGGCGGCGGCCCCGGAGCCCAGGAAGCCGCACGGGGTGAAACGGCATCACCACAAACACAACTTGAAGCACCGCTACGAGCTGCAGGAGACCCTAGGCAAAGGCACCTACGGCAAAGTGAAGAGGGCCACTGAGAGGTTTTCGGGCCGAGTGGTGAGTGGGGGCAAGCCCGGGTGGGGGTGCCGGTGTGGCTGCACGCGGCTGGGGACTGAGGGCGTGCGGGGCGGGGGTCTTGGGCACTGAGGCTCTCTCGTCTTCGAGGGGGGCTTCTTGAGAACCCCTAGACAGACTCCTCATTCTCCCCCCAGCTCCCCGTGACTCAGGCGTGTTTCTCTCCCGAAACACTTGTTACATCCTGTCTGCGCATATTTTAGGGGTTTTTATCCCAGCAGCAAAGTAGTGTTTATGATTTGCAAACACTTTGCAATGTTGGGACCGTCGGGGTCTTCCTCGCGGGCACGCATTCAGACCATTGCCTGGAATGCCTTATTGCTCTAACTCCAAACAGACCCACGTCCTCAGCTCAGAGGTGGTTCTCCACGTCTCGTGTCCTATAGATGAATGCCCCCCCCCTGCATCCCCCTACTCGTACCCCCCATCACCCTGATGGTGCTGTCGCTGCAAGGGAGGACAGACTCCTGCCTGTTTTTCAGAGAGAAGGTTAGAGAGCAAAAATAAAGGCAGCGGCATGCCTGAAGGTTGTGACAGTTTGCGTCTGACTTCTGGGAGGACTGAAATGCCCAGGGCAAGGGTAGCCACACAGATGCTGAGTTGCAGCTGACTCAATTGCATTTCAGGTCCTGGCTGCAGGGCTACTAAATTGCTTTAAGGGTCTGGCCCAGCCGCATCACTCTGTGACAGCTGAAACCCTGCCAGGGTCAGCACCATTTGCAGCGCTCCAAGGAGCGCCTTGAGTGCCTTGGGGTCCCTGGATTGTCCCCACCTTGGTTAGTTGTCATTTTTCTTTCTGCAGAACAGGCCCCTGAAATCCACACTGCTTGTGGCTAGAGGGTTGGGTTCAAAGTGACTGACTGTTGCAGAAAGATTTTGTGTGGTGTGGCAGAAAATTAACATGGTTCTTTGATTTGAAGCATATCAGATGTATTTTAATCGATTTAGGGCCAAAGTCAGGAACTAATTATAGGACACTTTTGGGGGAGTTTATAGGGGTCCAGGGTTGCTTATAAACTTAACAAATAACCACAGGGAAATAGCAAAATGAATTGTTGAATGAAGTGGTCGGTTGATGTTGGTATTTTTCTTTTGCGTTTGTGCAGACAGTCTTGTGGGGGAAAATGAGACACCAATCAGAAAGCTCAGCACCCCAATTCTCAAATATTTGTATACCTGGATAACTCCCTCATTCTAAGCTTCATTGTTTAGGTTGCTACAACTTTATCCTGTAGCTTTTTACAAAAGTCTGTTATAGGTTCGTTGGAAATTTGAAACATTGTGGCATTGTATTTTTAAGCTGGCTCCAATAAACAAATTCTATAGCAAGCAAGTAGGTGAGAATTCACTCTGGGCAGGTGCCATTTTTGTAGGTTAAAAATTTTAAAGAGGAGGTGATTGTAAAAATGTCTTTTGAGGAACACACTTTCAGGTTTGTGGAAGAAGAGGCTGAGAAAAGTGCTCTTCATTCATGCTTTTCTTCTGAGGTGATATTCCCCAGGCTGGATGTTGAATAAGCAAAAACTAAGCTTAGCTCCTTGCTCATGTTGTCTTAATAGCTGTTGAAGAATCGCGCTGGGAAGTTGGAAAGCAGAATAATGAAAAACAGACGCGGTTGGAGTTGCAGGTTGAGGATGTGAGCTTGTGAGGGGTTGAGTGGTAAGGGTGTGTCTGGGATCTGTGAGGCGACACAGATGCTGGGGAGCTGCCGCATACTGAAAGAATGAAACCTTGTCGTATGGCAGACACCTTTCTGAGCTTCACTGGGGCTTGCAGTCAGGCATTGCTCTCCCTGTCTGATCCACAGAGTAGGTTAGAGTGAAAGGGATTGCATCAGTAGGGGGGAGCCTGCCTTTCTCTTTTGGTGGGTGTCTCCCTTTATTTGCAGAAACTCTGAACATTCCGTCGGAATTTACACAAATGGCCACGAGGAGGCGCCCTGAGAACAGAAGAGGCTCGTTTCTCAGCCACTCAGCCATAAGCGTTCTGGGGTTATTGTCCAGCCTTAGTTCAGTTTCCCATTGTGCTGTTAATTTCAGCTCCATCTCTTGTTTTACTCAAAAATTACACAGAGATTTTTGAATCTTGTAGAAGACCCAGGCCCCCAAACTGGTAATTTCCAAACTGCTTTCTACTGGATAGATAGGCTTAGAATGTCAGCAAAATCATCTGGTGAAACACTGGCATGAAATAGATGGGAAACTGAAGTTCGGTGAAGGGAAGGCCTCCTTGGCCTTGAGTCCTCCCCCTGCTGAGCACACTGCTCACAGATGGTGTAAGAACTTAAGTGAGAAACACGAATTGTCAGGTGGAAAATGCCCTGGGCCTGGCTGAACAGAAAATAAAACAACAAAATATTGGTCAGCAAATTGTTCTTGCCCATCCAGTGCTTGGTGACTCAATCTGTCAAGAGCAGCAAGAAATTTTCATCTCCAAGTATGAACCTGGAGTTTTCTTCTGGTTCCAAGGGTGCATTACACAGCCATCATTTGCGCTTGAGGTGCAACTGAGGAGAACTGAGACACAATTCTCTCTTTTCGAGCTTCAGCAGGTGATGTTTCATTTTCATTTGTAGCCCGGCCCTTTCGAGTACTTCTCAAGGAGAGCAGTGGCTTTACGCTGCTGTGCCAGTGTGAGTGGCTCAAGTCAGGTGCTGCATGAGGTGCTGTGAAATCAGCACTCCTGAGACAGAGAAGTGTTTAACAACAAGAATGTTACAGCTTTTAATTGCATGTCTGGAAGGGCCTTCTAAATCAAACAAAACACGGCAGAGCATCATGCTCTGAGTTCTGTGAAAGGCAGTTCCGAAAAGCGTTGCAGAGTTGGAGTCAGCTGGTCCAGCCCTCCTCGTGGTCCAGGCATCCTTCAGTCCCAAATGTGATCTTGTGGCCCCTGCCTGAGCATGTCCATGAGACAGGGACTCAAAGTGGCTTCTTCCAGAGATTAGCAAACCCAACAACGAGCCACTCTTGCAGAAGGGCTAAGAGCCCTGGCTCACATTCAAATCCTGACCCATCCTTTACTAGCTTTGTGACCTTGCCCAAGCTATGTAACCTTTTGAAACCTCAGCTTCCTCCTCTGTAAAATGGGCTAATAATAGTGCCAACTTCATAGACTTGTTGTGAGAATTTGAATAAAATAATCTATAGAAAGCCTCAAATGGGAAATTACCCAATTTTAGTTTCCCCTTTCGGCAGATTTTTTTTTTTTCCCCACATCTTGCTTGGATTTTCGTTTAGATTTTAAGACCATCAAAAGGGCATAATGCCTTGGACAGTCAGCCTTGTACTATTCAGAGAGAGGCAGGAAAAATAATCAACTTTTCAGGTTAATTAGGGAATGCTAGGTTAATTAGGGAAGTGCGCCCATAGGAAGCCAAGACACCCAGATTCTGACAGGCTCTGAACATATTTCTAAAGCCTTGAATTCGGGCTTTGTTTATTGCACAACTCTTGTTTTGCTGCAATTTTGGGCAAGGCTGTTGAGCGAGCCCCTTTGTCATAACATGGCATGCATTCTCTTTGAGCCAAACTCCCTGGACTGGCAGGCTGCACAAAGTAGTGCCAAAAAAAACAAAGCCAAAAAAAATAAAAACCCACAACAGTTTGGGAAAGAGGTGCCTTGTGATCACCTCACCACCAAAGGCCAAGTTCAACTTTTCTTCTGCACCAAGTCATCTCTTGTGAACAGTATATGGTGTGATGTGAGCAGGAAGCAGGGTCTCTGGGAAGGGGTGGCAGGACCAGTGGGCCATGATCCTCACTCTTAAGGACCTTATGATCTAGTAGCAAAGATGAAATGTACTTACAAATATTGAACTAATCCTGCTCAGTTCAACAAGGATTTATTACCATCTGCCATATGCTTTTCGCCATGTTAAATGCTGGGACATAGACAAGGAACTTTCCGTCTCGTGGAAGAGACAGAGTAAGCAATTGCTAGGCCACGGCTTCCTCTTCCTTACAGGGCTGGATTATTGCAGGTGATTTTCAAGTCAGAAGGTAGCCCATTGAAGCTTAGTTCATTACATTGAGTTCGATCCTGGATAGGAACACCCCCTCCCATATTAGCACTGTTGCTATTATTGCCAGCTGCTGATATTTTCGAGAGCCTGTGCTGTGTCACACTGTGCTGAGTGCTTTACAGACATTTTCTCTAATCCTCTCAACAACCCTAAGAGGTATGCACTCTAGTTAGACCCGTTTAACAGATGGAGAAAGTGATGCTTAGGGAGGTTAAGTAACTTGCCCAGGGTTATACAGCTAGTCAGTGGCAAACAAGTCTGTTTTGAAACCCATTGCTGCTAGAGGAATGGAGAGCCGTCCTTAGGTTGCCCAGATGGCCACCTCGGGGTTTGGGTGTGGTACTCTGTTCATGGTGCCAGGAGACCAGCCCTGGGGTGATTCTGTTCCTGGGTGGGGGGGTTCTCATTGTTGTTCAGAAATAGGGTATAGAGAACAGCCATGGCATATTATAGGATTAGGGAGGGTAATTGCTGTTGAAGATGACCCTTAATTTAAGTTTCAGAAGACTGAAATATAGGGCATTTCAGCCAGAAGCAGATTCCAGGGTGAGCAGGCCAGACCCCCTATAATGCAGGGTTTGTGCTGGTTTGCATTAGGAGGCAAGATAGGTAAGATATGATGGGGGTAATAGCATCATCATCGTCATCATCGTCATCGTGATAATAACAGCTAATACTTTTCGAGCGCTTCTAACAGGCCAGCTACCTATTTTTGATTTAATCCTTCTAATAATTCTGTAATCATCTCATTTTTAGACGAAGAAAGTGAGTCACAGAGAGGTTCACTAGCCTGCCCAAGGCACATGCAGCCGCAGAGCCAGGGTTTGGACCCAGGCAACACGAATGCAGACACCTTGACCATCGCCCATACTCTAGGGGGCTGGGCTGGGTTCTGATCACAGTGGAGCCCTGAGCCCATCAGCCTGGCGGGCTGGCACGGAGCAGGGAGGCTAGCCTA